GCCGCGCTCTGCTGGGCCTCCGCCAAGAAGCTGGAGACTCTGCCGTGCATCTGTGTGTAAAAAGAAAGCGAATCATTTCCCACTGAAAGGACAGCGGAAGTATTTCCTCTTCCCCAACCCCCGTCCCGGGGGTCCCCCCTTACACTGTGTATATACCCGTAGGGCCCCTCGTCCCCTGCGGGGTCCCTTGTCAGATGTGGATGCGGCACAAAGTGAGCGACATTTCCAGCGCCTGCCCCGCGCTCCCAGCCTGAGGAGTGAGAGCCCACAGGCCAAAGAGGAGCTTCCCGCCCAATCCATTGTAACAGCTGAATGGGCCAGCAGCCTCTCCCGGCAGGCTCCCCTGGCAGTTAATGGTCCGTGCTTTAGGACAAGCTCAGCAGTCATGTCAGTTACGTGTAGGGTTGCCAGGTGTCTGGTTTTCGACTGGAACGCCCGGTCGAAAAGGGACCCTGGCGGCTCCGGTCAGCACCACTGACCGGGCTGTTAAAAGTCCAGTTGGCGCAGTGGGGCTAAGGCAGGCTCCCTACCCGGGTCTGTACAACTCCCAGGAAGCTGCCAGCATCTCCCTCTGGCTCCTAGACGGAGGGACAGCTACGGGGGCTCTGTGCGCTGCCCCTGCCCCCAGTGCCAGCTCAGCTGCTCCCATTGGCCAGGAACCACGTCCAATGGAGCTCAGGGGGCAGTGCCTGAAGGCGTGGGCAGCACAGAGAGCCATGTGATCGCGCCTCTGCTTAGGAGCTGGAGGGAGATGTTGGCAGCTTCCTGGGAGCCACCTGAGGTAAGCGCTGCCTGGAGCCTGCACCCCAGCCCTGAGCCCCCTCCTGCACCCCAGACCCTGCCCCCACCCCAGAGCCCGCACCCCCAGCTGGAGTCCTCAGCCCTGCACCCCAACCCCCTGCCCCAGCCCAAAGGCCACACAAGCGACACAGCTGGGCGGGGCGGCTCTGAGAAGGGGCCGATGTTTCACTGGGATGGCTCAAGGTTGGTTGGTTGGAGGGTATTAACTGTGCTTCTCTCAGACTCTTGAACTTGCCCATTATTTTAAATTCCCGAGAGGGCAGGGGAGGGGAGCAGCGGAAGAGCCTGTGTCCTACAGGGGGCAGAGGCAGTGACCAGACTGCACTGGTGTGGCACTGGGAATTACTCCCTGGGCTCTCGCTGGGAGGCTGGGAGGCTGAGGGACAGACTCTCAGTGTGAACGCCATACACGGGGCTAAGCGGGCTGCTTCCCCCTTCAGAGCAAAGAACTGCTTTGTAACCCCGAGCAGGAGCTCCTGGGCAGGCCAGGGGGCAGGAGAGTGGGTGCTGGGGACAAGAGACGGCCTGTTCCTACATCCAAGCTATTCCTGGGCTGCCATAAGGACTACAACACACCGGCAGCCAGACACAAGGTTAGGCCTCAGAGTAGGGGGCCCTATGCTGGGCTCCCCCCCGGAGCAGGGATGAACCGGGGCACAGGGAGTAAATTCTAGCCTGCAGTGCAATCGCCTGACACCTCTCTCCCGCACCAGGCGACAGCCCAGGGGCCGGTGAAGGTTCAGACACATCACGCCTCCTCAGGACCGCGTGTCCCCAGCGAGGGCCCGGGGATGACTGGAGGGGCAACCTACCTCCTTCCTGAAGGCTTCATCCGTTATATCTTTCAGGTTGGTCACCACGTTGAAATAGGCACCAAACACTCCTGCTTCCAGCGCTTTAGCCGCCACCTGAATGCAAGTGTTAAAGGGATGTGTGAGGAGTTACCTGTATAGCTTACGTAGGCCCGGCTGCCCCTTCCCTGCTGTAAAGTGGCACGGCTCCTCCAACCTCAACAGCCTGAGACCTTTACACCCGCAAAGACCTGGCCCAGGAAGTGGATCGTGTCCAGATACTGATTCTCAGACCAACACTCCAAACTTCCCATGAGGTGGCACTTGTCACCTGTAGATCTCAAAGGAGGGGAAGCATTATTGTCCCCTTCTGACGGCTGGGGAAACTGAGGCAAGGAACGCTACAGTCGACATTTTCTAAAGGTGCCACTGGTTTTGGCCATCAGAACCTGCCAAAAATGTAGGCAGCTGAAATCAGTGGGTAACTTTGAACCTGTTGGCTGAAGTGACTTGCCCAAACTCACACAATGAGTCACTGGCAGTTCCTCCACCTCTCATTCCGGCAGCCTGTCCACTGGACCTTGCTGGTGCAAGACAGCAGGGGATGTGGGACAGACTCTGGGGCACTGCACTTCTATGGCAAGTCAGAAAAGTTACGGCCACCACCAGGATTTTTCCACTGCTTGGGCAGAGAAGTGGATGGGCCAGTGGTCAGGGCGCTTGCCTGGGACTTGGGAGACCTAGACTCGGTTCCCTGCTCAGCCACAGATTTCTTGGGCAGGTCACTGAGTCTCTCTAGACCTGAGTTCCCCACCTGAACCATGGAGGTAATACCCTCCGGGGAGAAACTGAGAATTGTACGTGCTCAGACAGTCTGCTGAGGGGAGTCATACAAGTACCTGCGATCGACAGACCTTTTGCTTCCTAACAACATAAATGAGAATCTGTACAAGTCCTCCCAGTGCTCACAGGCAGATTTCTTCCATTCTGCACTCCAGGGCCAAACTTCCTAAAGAGCCGGGAAAGACTCTGAGCCTGCTGCTAGCGCCTAGGCCAGTACCTGGAGATCCGATTTGCAGGCGACGTTCCCGTACTGAGCCATCTCTTTTAACATGGGCCATAAGGCGTTCACTTTCTCTGCCAGCGAGAAGGGGACACCTACAGCCTTCTTCAGCCCCTGCTGCATAGCAGCTGTGCGCCTGCAAACGGCAAGACACACAGTCAACCTGACTGCAAAAGGCAAGCAAGGAAACCATTGTGGGAAGGGGTGATATCACACCATGGACACTGGGCTGGCCAAAGCACCGTGCAAATGTGTTGGTTTTAGGTTCTATTTGCTCATCCAAAAGTGATCCACCCTGTGAGGAGTTAACAAAATGCCTTTCCAAAGCACATGGGGCACACACAAAGAATGATTAACAGACATTGAATGTAGGACAAATGTCCAAAAAAAATCCACCCAAACGCCCGCCATTCAGGGCAACTCACTCAGCCTGCTGCTCCCATAAGAAGCCTGAGGAAAACCAAACTTTAGCTTTGCAGGATGCTGTGAGGATCTCCTCTCTCTCTCACACACACACACACACACACACACACACACACACACACACACACACACACACACACACACACACACACACACACACACACACACAACAA